GGCGCCCCGTCTACGGCATGCGCCAGGCTCCCCGTGAGTGGCACGACACTCTCCGTGCTACGCTTGCTGACCTGCAGTTCTTTCCGTCTTCTGCAGACCCTTCACTCTTCGTTCGTGCTGGCCAGACTCCGTTCTACATCCTCGTTTACGTCGACGACCTGGTCTTTGCCACAGCAGACAGGGACGCACTGGCCTCCGTGAAGGCAGAGCTGCTGAAGAGACACACCTGCACTGACCTTGGAGAACTGCGCCGTTACCTTGGCTTGCAGATCTCCAGGGACAGAGCTGCGCGCACCATCACCCTGACTCAGTCACACTTGGTGCGCCAGGTCCTTCAGAGGTTCAGCCTTCAGTTCTCCTCTGCACAGCCCACCCCTCTGCCTGTAGACCACAGGCTCTCCGCTCCAGTGCCTGAGGAGTTGGTAGAGCCCAGCGGCCCCTACGCAGAGCTGGTGGGTTGCCTCATGTACCTGATGACTTGCACTCGCCCAGATCTCGCATACCCTCTCAGCATCCTGGCTCGCTTTGTGGCCACAGGCAGACACCGACCGCAGCACTGGTCTGCCGCTAAGAGGGTTCTGCGTTATCTTGCTAGTACATCGGGCATGGGGTTAGTGCTAGGAGGACGCAGGCCAGCGGTCCTTACTGGGCACACAGACGCTTCGTGGGCAGACGACGCTGAGACACTCCGGTCTACCCAGGGCTACTGCTTCAGCCTTGGCTCAGGTGCCGTCTCGTGGAGAGCTACTCGCTCCTCGTCTGTTGCACAACCCAGCTGTGAGGCTGAGATCTACGCCGGTGCCATGGCGGCACAGGAGCTCCGCTGGCTGACCTTCTTGCTCACTGACTTAGGTGAGCGGCCTAGCTCTGCCCCGGTCCTGTTCGCTGACAACAGGGCCATGATCCTCCTGTGTCAGGAGCCTCGACTTGAGGGCAGAGCGAAGCACATTCAGCTGCGGTACTTCCTCCTGCGTGAGCTACAGCAGCGACGTCAGGCTCGCGTAGTACACTTGGCCTCAGGTGCCAACACGGCTGATATCTTTACGAAGGCGCTTGCGCCTAAAGATCATCAGCGGCACTGTGTACAGCTTGGTCTAGTTCCTGTAGCCTCTCACTTGCTAGGACCTTGACTTTGTACTGTCCTTTATATGTATACTCAGACTGGACTTGTGTCCTCTCCCAGTGGCTGGACTAGTAGTGCCGCCCTGCTCTTGTGCTTGCCTTGTCTGTACTCCTTCTGACCGGTCGCTCAGACCCTTGCCTCAGAGGTTGGACTAGTAGTGCCGCCCTGAGCTGCTTGTTTAGGGTATTCCCCTATGCAGTCTAGGGGGTGTGTCAAACATGTGTATTTGTCATGTTTGTATAGACTGTATAGAGTCACCTCTTAGAGGATACAAAACTTAGATATATTTGTGTGTACTCTCACTTTACTATCATTCAATTTTCTGATAGATTATGTGTAGTTAGTGTCGAATCATACTGTACAAGATAAGTCCGTAGGATGACGTCAGCAAATAGCGCTCGTCATAGGACAGCCGTTTTCGTCGCATGGCTCGCTGTCGCTGAACGGGAGTCAGGCGCGAAACTGCAAGAATTTCAGAGTGATGGTGCAGGGGAGTACACCATCAACACTTTCACAGACTACCTTCAGACACTCGGCATCAAACGGAAGCAGTCTCTGCCGCATGCACACCAACAGATGGGGGTAGCACAAAGGTTGAACAGAACTCTGCAGGAGAAGATGCGTGCTCTGCTGACGCAGGCAGCACTTCCACCGCATTTTTGGCCGTATGCGATGGACCACGCCGTGCTGTTACACAATCTTCTTTCTTCAACGTCCCTACCCGAATTTTATTCTCCACACCTGCAGTGGACACGAACAGTGGGAAGAACAAAACTTTTACGAGTTTTCGGGTGTGTTGTACAGTTTCGTCCTCCAACCGCAGCACTCGGAATTTTTTTTGAACGAGCAAAATGGGGGGTACACCTCGGCATCGAAAAACAGTATCACGCGTGGAAGATTTTGGACCTTCGCTCCCATCAAATCGTTCCATCACGTGATTGTCTTTTCTATGAAAGACTCACCTTGCCCGTTTTTCGTGCCCACCAGATAACAGCCGCCAATCATGCCAGGCTGTTCGAAGGCTCGCGTGCGTTTGCAACTGACGGAGCCGAAGCTGATGTACAGGACGAGGATGTTTCTGAAGCTTCCGAAGCTGCCGCAACAGACGTTCCCGAACTTGTCACCTCGACCGGCATACCTGAATTCATTCCTCTTGCAGATGCTGACCAGGATGATGTTCGCGAAGTTCGTCTCAGTTACGAACGCGACCGCTAGCAACAGCTGGTGCCCGTTGTCTCTGACGAAGCAGTTCGTGTTACACCTGACGAAATTGGGGGGGAAGAAGGAGCAGAAGAAAAATTCGCAGGTGTATACGAAGAACGTCAGCGTTTTACAGAAACAGGATTGCAGATACCGGGATTTGCAGTAGCAGTACAGTGCAACGACAGTAAGATACCTGAACCGAAAACCGTCCGACAAGCTCTTACGAGTCCTCACTGAGAGAAATGGTGCGAAGCCATGGACAAGGAGCTAGCAACACTCAAGAATCGCGGAACATGGGATTTAGTACGGACTTCAGAGGCCAAAGGGAAGAAGGTACTTACCGGAAAATGGGTCTTCCGCATCAAGAGTAATGCAGATGGGTCGTTTGAAAAGTTCAAAGCGCGATGGGTCTTCCGCGGATTCGAGAGACTTACGGCATCGACTATGAACTAACCTTTGCTCCTGTCGGCCGACATACAAGCGTTCGGATTCTTCTTTGTGTCGCCGCCTGCCGTAATCTACGTCTTCGCCAAATCGACGTCTTGAATGCGTTTCTCTACGCGCCTGTCGACGCACTCATCCTGGTAGAGTACCCGCATTCCTATAATACTAACCCACCGAGCGTTTGCCGTCTCCGAAAATCTCTATACGGCATTAAACAGGCACCACGGCTCTGGCAGCAGTATCTTCACCCGCAGCTGATCATTGCTGGATTTCGACAGTTACCGCATAATAAGAGAATGTATCTACTGACCGACGGCAGCAACTACATTTTACTCGTCGCCTACGTCGATGACATCCTATACGTCAGTACTACCGATTCCCTTGCCGAAACCTTCATACTGAAATTACAGGAAAATCTACAGCTTACCGTCTCCGAAACAGTCTCACAGTTTCTCGGACTGAACATTACCTGTTCACCGACAACTATTCATCTTACCGCTTCGAAGTATGCAGCAACACTCGCTGCCCGCTTCAACCTCACACCTAGTGTAGTCTCTACACCGTACCGCTCACTACCGACTGACCACAAACCGAACACCGCACTGTTAACTTCAACCGGTTTACAGATCTATCAACAGCAGCTAGGCTGTCTACTTTTCGCCGCTGTCACTTGTCGTCCTGATCTAGCCTATGCGGCCAGTCAGCTCGCACAGTTCCTACGCCGTCCTGAGGAGGAGCATCAGCTTGATCTTCTCCGCGCGCTTCAATATTTTATCTCGTCACCTGACGTCGGATTAGTCTACAACGTTATCGGTTGTAAAACACTCTATCTACACGGTTTTGTCGACGCCGATCACGCTGCTGATTCTACTAATCAACGGTCACGCACTGGGTGTCAAACATGTGTAGTTGTTATGTTTTCATAGACTGTATAGGGTCACCTCTTATAGGGTACAATACTTAGGTATATCCATCTATACTCTCCCTCTAATCAATCTTCACTTCTCTCATTTTGATACTGGGTTCATCTATCGACTGGAACCTGTCGGACCTATCTTTTGGAATTCTACGAAGCAGGAGCTGATTACACTCTCCTCTGCTGAAGCTGAGTTTATTGCTGTCTGCACAGCAACACGCAAAGGACTTTACTTACAGGAACTATTGGAAGAAGCGAAGTTGACGACAACTACCCAGTTTACCCTACAGTGCGACAATCAAAGTGCAATTCGCATCGCACATCGGCCTGGTTTCGTCAACAGAATGAAGCATATTTCGCTTCGTTATTTTTTCGTCAAAGATGAAGTCGAGAAGGGGAGGATGTGATTGGTCTACTGTTCGACCAACGAAATGGCTGCCGATTTTCTTACGAAGAAGCTGACACGACAGAAGTTTCAGTACTGTAACAAGCTCTACGGAATCTTCAAGAAGTGACACTATCGAACTTCCAGAAATGAAGGGGAGTGTTGTAATATAATTGATACTTAGCATTTCTGTAAGTCGATTATGTGTAGTTAGTGTCGAATCATACTGTAGAAGATAAGTCCGTAGGACGACGTCAGCAAATAGCGCTCGTCATAGGACAGTCGTTTCAGTCACGTGAACAGTCGCACCCCTTCATTATCATCTAGGGCGCATAGTGCGATAGTGACGAACAGGTACATTAGCGAATATGTACTTTTCGTAGAACTATAAATCTCTGTTAGGTCTTTTTCATTATTAATTTTGATTACTCACAAGTTTACGTACTCAGGTTATTCAACCTTGACTTTTACATTTTACAAGACTTCCGCTGTCTTACTAGTCTACCATTCCAGCAAAGATCCTGGACCAACACTTGAGGATTTGCCAAGTGTTCGCATTTATAGTTTTATACTTAGTCTCTTACAACATCAGACGATTTATTTCAATAACATCCATAGACACAGCACGTTTGAAAGTTAACAAATACATGGCTTATCATACACTATAACTACAAGAGATATATTATGTAAGGATTTAGTAATTCCTTACCGAGGCTTGCGACAGGGCGTACGACTCGAACAGTCCCGAACCAGCGATAGGGTTCCAGACCTCTCAGTTCGAGCCTCCTGGGCCTTTCCGGACATCTCTTCGACGCATCGAGGCTCTTCGACACCTTTCCCGAACCTTCCTATCCTACGTCCAGGATTGCCGTAGGTTTCCGATATATTGTATTGTCTTTCATTTTTTTGTCATTCACTCGTTCACAGTTTCGCCATTGCCCTCCGCGCTACTCGGCAGTTCCATTCATAGCATATCCCCCCCTCGCTTGTCTCGGCGGAGAGGTCCAACCACACAATCTCAAGGCAGAATGGTGACGTCACCATGCCCTGCCCGACCACATCAGCCTCCTGCTATTTCGGCCCGCGATGAGCTGTCGCCACGCCACGAGGCTGGAGCAAGCCAGCGTAGCATTCGCCCCTGGGTTTGCGGCTGGAGGAACAGCGGCAGTATGGGCGAAGCAGGAGTGCCTCGGGTAAACTGATTCACAGAGACAACATCACGCCGAAACGAGTGATCCGCGCGACGCAAACCGACGAGGGCTACATTTTCGTGTTAGGGATCCTAAAAGCTCAGGGTGACGAAGACGTTTGCCCTTAGCGAACCTATTCTCTGAGGAATCACCCTGCAAGCTGTGTGTTTCGAAAACGTGATTCCTATGGGAAGGATACCATCAAGGCGGCAGAACTCCGCGTTATCGAGAAGTTATCGCTATTCGCGTTCAAACAATCGAAGCACACTCAGACATGTACACAGTATAGCGCACAGACCTGAGCTTCTGCCCCCTCGCTCTAATTGAGGCCTCCGAACTGACCTTCGTGAGTTCGTGCGGAACTCGAATGGGCTAATCCATTCGGGATGACAGGTGGAGGAAGGGGTAGAAAGCCCAGCTGTCTTTGTGCTGAATTTCAGTAAAGCAATCCAGATCTAAATCCAGCATGGGCCTTCGGATAATTCTCAGTATAGTGTCCGGATAATTTCGACCACGACCCCCCTATAATCCGGCCTCCAGTCCAGACGGAAAAAACCCGGAATGCAGGAAAATTTCCGGATTTTACTCTCTGCTGTACTGTGAGCCCTGAACCGAAGCTGAAACAGAGCAGAACAGAAATCTAAACATCCAGGGGTTTGCTGGCTGGATGAATGGTGGCACGGCACCCAGAATCAGCAGTCAGAAGAAATCTTGAAATCTACCCGCAGTTTGCGCAAACATACCGACTGCCGTCGATTTCAGTCTTGCTTCGGCTTCGAATCTAGATAGCCACACGATGGCGAATGACTCCATCTCAGATCCCGTGTATGACGTGTACCGCGACCGCAGAAGTGGGAGCAGCTGCAGCCACATATCTATCCGTTCCACACGCTTGATTCTGCCCCGCAAGCACAACTCTGGACCGCAAAGACGCGCCTCGCTGGTGAATGCCCGTCGATCGGCCTTCCAGATGCTGCTAGTCACCCACCAGCCCACTTGTGCCCCGCCCTCCCATGCCATCCGTTTGCATCCCCTCTCTGCCCTGCTTTCCTCCTCCCACCAGGAGTCCTGTCGCCCTTATCACTCCCTTAATGATTGCAGTACACGTGTCGTGCATGGCTTGGTTCCTGCCAAATCAAGAAGCTCTCAATCAACCTCTTCCAAGCCAACAGCCGCCACAAGCGCGAAAAGAACATTCCTGCGGCGCGGCCCAGGTCCAGCTCCAGACTCCATCCATCCATACCTATCTTTCTAAACAAGAGACATCCCTGTCTTCGAGAAAAGCTAACCCACCTCACGCGCTCGCAGCAATTCGCGCACGACGATCATTTTGCACCATGCTTTTCGTTGAGGAAGGAGGTGTTCCTCGTGGTTGGTAGAGAAGAATAAATCGCGCCGCATGAGGACAGCCAAACATGAGCGTCATAGATTCCCGGAGACAACATTCTACAACTTGGCTTCCATGAATCGTTGTCAGCAGCATTACCAGTTCCTCCCTAGTTGTACTGTACGTAAATCCCTGGTCGTCGATGCATGACGCGTGACACCACAACTTATCTCAAACGAGTTGTGTGCTCAAATCAGATAGACAAGTACAGTATATGGTTACCGTGCGGCCTTCACGGCTTGTCGAAGAAGACGGCTTATCTACCTTATCGAGGGCTAAATAGATTCGAAGTGCTCGCGGATTACTACCAGGCTCTATTCTCGCTTCTTCCGTAAAATAGCTCTCGAGTCCGAGTTCCTTACACTTGGCTAATAATCAGCCATCGATCTAACGACCGAGAGCCATGGAAGTTCATAGTGCGCAGTGGTTCACCGCTCAGGCTTTCTCGACTTACCGCAGTGCTTCACATCCTCTCCCGCACGCGATGCCGCCTCTTCCGCTTCTCCACTCGCGAGTCTCTTGCGCTCTGTGTCCCTCCCCCGCCGCCGTGCACTGCGCCGCCGACGGCGCGCATCTCTGCGTCGCGTGCGACCAGGCGGTCCACGTGGCGAACGCTCTCGTGATGAAACACGCGCGCGCGCTCCTCTGCTGCTCGTGCCACCAACCCACGCACGTGCAGCTCCTTGGGTTCCCGTCTGCCCCCATCCTGCCCCCAGTCTCCTGCCATGGCTGCCGCGCCTCCGGTTTCCCCGCCGCCGCGCTCCTAACCCACGCCACGGCGGGATCTGTAGCGGCTGACGTGTCACTTGCCCACGTGGCAAGCGCGCCTTTCCTCGGCGTCCAGCACGCCGGATTTTATCCTGCTCAGCTGGTTGACGATGGGAGAGGGTGGAGTGCCGCGGGGGATCATAGTCATCGCTATGGTGATAGCCAGCCAGGCCCCAGCATGCAGCGTATCGAGTCACACTACAGCGGGGATAGCGGGCCTGACGGCGCGTCTCCCGCGAGCGGAGTGACCACGGTGTGCTGCGAGCCTGCAGTTGGTGTCGCCAGTGGTAACACTGGTAACAGTTACGACCTGCAGTCGGTGTTTCGCGAACAGCTGTCGCAGATGCAGCAGGCGGCTATTTTCCAACCGCCGGTTTTCGTTTTCGCCAGTCAACAGCATCATGACCGTCCAAATCCGCAGCATCAGCCAGCGATTCCATCTGATCCGTCGAAACAAGAAGGCACGGCGACGATCCTGCATCTCTTTCCGCAGATCCCTGAAGACGTGGGCCTTCGCAAGAACGGGGCGGCAGAGGCGTTACGTGTAGCCGGCGAAGCCGGAAAACCGTCAGTTAAACGTAGACGGACGGAAAGCGGATCTGACGGATCCGAATGTTGTGTCCCGCGGGGCGATGTGGCTGACGCCGCGAATGTGAATGTAAACGGGGAAGCTATAATCGGGGACAACTGTATCGGAAAGCCTTCCGGAACTGACCGGAAAAGGACACTGTTCGAGTCACATCAGCAGCAGCCGCCGACGACACGTCAGCTGCAGCCTTCGTCCACGTCAGACGGCCCTGCTCTCGGCCAAACCGCCGCGGCTCGGCTGAAGCGCGTCCTCCAATCATGGTGCACGCGGCTCCACCTCGCTACCAGCAGCGCGCAGGCGCTGGCCTTCCACATGCTCCAGCGGATCTTGCGGAAACTCCGGCCGACTGACGTGGCAGCGGACGCGCTTCGGGTGGTTCTCGCCACGTGTCTCTGGGTGGCGATTAAGGCGCAGGAGAGCCAGGGCGCGGTGCCGCGAGCGAGCCAAATCGCGGCTGTAGCGCGAGTCACGGCGGATGCTCTGGTGGGGATGGAGATTGAAGTCCTGAAATTGCTGGACTGGCGACCACTAGAAGGATTCCACGTGGATGGGGAGAAATGAGCTGAGGGGTAAGGGAGAGGAAGGGGGGGAGGGGGAGGGGGAGGGGGAGGGGGAGGGGGGTATTCCATGGCGGTACGGACTCCGGTTTTCTATACAGATGGGGCAGGGAGGAATGAGATTCTGGTTTTCTTTTTCAGCGGGGCAAGGGAGCAATGAGCTACAGACAGCTGCAAGACCGTCTTCACTCACTGACATATTACGGTGCTCTCATGCCCCCCACCTCTCATTCTATCATGCCCTAGCGGTGCCAAGACCAGCCGGCTACAATTCCTGCCAGTTCAGGCTTTCTGGCAGCAGCGATACTGTGTGTTGCTGTGTGCTTGCTACTGGTAACCATGCCATCCCATGGCAGGGGCGCGAGATCAGCCTGCAATCTAGATGCCAGTATAGGTGTGCTGGCACCTTGGCAGACAGTGATGTGATGGTTGTTCTGCAGAACTAGTATAGTAGCTCTCACGCACCCATCTTATGGGTGATCCATTTGATTAATTCCTTGGTTCTGTTGGACTACAGAGCAATGTTCCTTTGATTCAGTCCTTTGAGTCCTGATTTCCTGAATTGTACCCCATCCATCCAGACCTCACCCCACCTAACACACAATACAACGCTGTAACTGGAATGGTTAGCAACTTGCCAGTCACTTTCTCCTACATGCACTTCCAGCTGAATCCGCTCCCCCGCATATCCTCACATATCAAAAACCTGGTGTCTCAATTGAGCAGCACTGCACAGTGCAAATGTGGGACCTAGAGGTGTACCGGTAAGTGTAATGCGTTGCAGTGTGGTGCGGCACTAACTGGGACGCAAGGTCTTTGAAAGATGATAGAGAAGTACACTCAAGTCACTCTCTCCTAACATGCACTGTCAGCTGAAGCTGGTCCCACCACGCAGGCAGCAAAGGCGAATATCTATTCCCTAGGTGCCTCAACCTGCCACTGCTGCTGTGAATCACTTTCTCCTGACGTGCACGGCCAGCTGAATCTGCTCCCGCTCCCCCGGCAGTGCAACAGACGGAGGGAATCTGAGCGGCACTTCGAAATCGCCAATGGAGGAAAGAGGCACCGGCAGAGGCACGTTGGCCTCGGATAACTGGATGCCAAACTGGCGGCGGACCTGATTTCAATGGAAGACAGGGTGGGGAGTGGAGAAGGAAGTAGAAGAAGTAAATTTATAAATGGGGGAAACAGAGAGGGGGAAGAGAAAGCATGGAGAGAGGCGGAGGCGGAGGCAGAGGCAGAGGCAGAGGCAGAGGCGAAGAAAGCATGCAGGCAGAGGCACGTTGGCCTTGGACAATTGAATGCCAAACTGGCGGCGGACCTCGCTGATGATGTGGCGCTGCGTGATTGGTTGGTGCAGCTCGTTGGCCCTCTTTGGCGTGACGGCCCGGATAGACTGCGAGGAGGGAGCACGGGTGTGAGAGAGAGGATGGGAATGGGGATGGGGACGGGGACGGGGACGGGGACGGGGACGGGGACAGGGATGGGGATGAGGGCGAGCATTAAGTACATGGCACATGTGTGCAGATGGAGGTTGAATCCTGCACGTGGTACAAAGTTCATGTATGTGCGCGTTAAAAAATCACCTACAAAGTGCACGTTTGTACGCGTTCATCCAACCAGAGTTCTAGCGGAGCCTACAGATGAAGAGACCATTTGTTGAGTGCCGCCACGATCGACTTCTGACAACGAGGGCATATGCAACACTTGGGGCATATGCAACACTTGGGGGCTTACAACAAGCTGAATTGATCAGAGACGGGCAGAAGAGAGGAGGGAAGCCAAGAGCCAAGAGGAAAGGAGGGAGAGAAGAGAGGAAGGAAAGGAAAGGAAGGGAGGGAAAGGAGCGCACCAGTCTTTGGCTGTCCAGTCGTCGTGCGATCTCCTGGGCCTCATTCACCCTCTCTTCCATCGTCACCACCGCTCCCTCCTCCTCCTCCCCTCTCCCCGCATCCCCTCCCATGACCACACTCGCACCCCCCTCTGCCGCAGCCGCTGCTGCTCTGGGCGCAATCTCCTGTGCGCCTCCCCCCTGTGCTCCCCCCTGTGCTCCCCCCAGCGCTCCCCCCTGCGCCCCCCCCGCCCCCTGCGCCCCCCCCTGCTCCTTGGCGAGGCGCACTTGGCGCAGGAACTTGGGGATGGCGGGGAGGGCGACCTTCTGGGGGATCAGCTTGTTGCGCGCGAAGCCAGCTGGCACCTTCACCACGTCTCCTGCGAATCCCAGGCCTTCCACCTCCTGAAAGGGGGGAGGTTAGGGCGATTGGGGGAACTGGGGGATTGAGGGGAGGGGAGTCACAGGATGGAGCGTGGGATGGCGGGGGAGGGCGACCTTCTGGGGGATGAGCTTGTTGCGGGCGAAGCCAGCTGGCACCTCGCAACGTCCCCTGCATAGCCTAGACCTTCCACCTCCTGATGGGGCGGGGGGGGGGAGGGGGGGGAATAAGGGATTGGGGGAGCCACGAGATGGCCCTTGAGGATGGGGATGAAGGCTGCCTTGGCCCTCTACTTCCTGATAGGCAGAAAAAGAAAGATCACCCAAGATCAAGAGACCTTACCGCTATGATCAGGCCTTACCGCGGTCAGCACGACGGGCAGTTTTGGGCGGGTGCGCACTCCGCGCTCGAACGACAGGCGGGAGGCGGAAGCGGGGGCGGGGGAGGCGGCGCTCTGGGCGCAATGCCGCGCGCAAGCGGAGGTCGCAGCAGCGTTGGCGGAGGGTTGAGCGGCGAACCGTGCCTGAGAGGGTTGCGGGAGAAGCGGGACGGGGGAGGAGGAGGGGAGGGAGGAGGGGGAGGAGGAGGGGGAGGAGGAGGGGAGGGAGGAGGGGAGGGAGGAGGGGAGAGAGGAGGGGGAGGAGGAGGGGGAGGAGGAGGGGAGGGAGGAGGGGAGGGAGGAGGGGAGGGAGGAGGGGAGGGAGATCGCACTAAGAGCGAGCCCTGAAAAGGGGGAGAGACGGATAGATAAACGTGTAGGACTAGCATCTAGTTCTAAGACTAGTTCGAGGGACTGAGTTTGACCGCCGAGAAGTGAAAGCGGATCGATAGTGCCAAGCCGTGACGCAGCGGTGACTTTTGAGTGGACTCAAAAGCTGTGTCCCAGCGGTCTTGCTGCGAGTCCTCACGCGCGGCGTACCAGAGAGGACGCGAAACGCGATACCGCCGAGATCGCTCCCTTGTGAGCCCTCATTTTCTAGGGCGGGAAAGAGGCTACGGACGGATACTGGTCGCGAGACGGATACTCGCTTGGCGAAAGGTCGGCGACGTGCGGCGGCGATAAGACTGTCGAAGGAGTAACGTAATTCGCAGCAGAGGAAAGCGAGGCGGGGAGCGAGGTAGCGGGTGGTGGCGACGCGAAACAGGAGGCGTAAGGCGAGTCGGGAAAAAGAGGCGTAAGGCGAGGCGGAAAAAAGAGGCGTAAGGCGAGGCGGAAAAAAAGAGCCGTAAAGGCGAGGCGGAGGAAAATCCTGTCGTGGGAGTGGCGATTGGACAAGGACAAAATACTGGGCGTTCCCACGTGATCCTCGTTACAGTCAAATGCGCTTGTGTAATGCCCTCGTAATTGCGGGTATGCGGAGGCCAAACGAAAGCCAAGGTGCCTCCTCATAGTTTGATAAGTGCCATTAATCTTAGAGGTTCGCTTCAGCACTTGTAGGGCTATTGTTCTGCACTTGGTGGACCTGCGGGTATGAGCTGCTATTGTTAGGGAGTGGCTGTTGACATGTTTCTCCCTGTCCATGGGGTCCTTGGTTTCTTTCTGTGCGCATCGAGTTGTTTCGTTTTGCTCTTGTTTCTTTCTCCCCACCTGTGTTTTTCCGCTTTCTCTCTCCTTGTGGTATTAAGCGGCCTCATTCGTGGTTTCCTTATGCTATGGTTGTACCTTGTCAAAAAAAAATTCGTATGAACTTGTAGGGCTATTATAAGTATTACAAATCACAATACAGATTCTGGAGAAGTTCTGCACTGTACACCCCGCCCATGTTTACCACCGATTCAAACTTGATTTTGTGTCTCCCTGATGAAGCACGCCTTGCTGGCTGGTGTCCCTCCCCTCGATTTTGTCGACGATACCTCGAGAGGGTGCCTGGCGGGGATCTTCTGGCTGTCCTGAACTATGGACGGCTGGTTGTAGTAGAGCAGCGTAGTCTGTTAGGTCTCTTAGTTGTTTAGCCGACGCGCATTTCTCGACGCTCAAGCCTAGTGGGCTTGTCTCTGACAACTGATGACTATTAGTACTTCGAACGTCTTCTGCGCGGCTTTTGAATAAGCCTTGCCAGTATTGATCTCTGCTCAGACGCTTGCTGTGGCGATTCGACTCTTGAACTCCCCCACCCGCTTCCGCCTGCTTCTGCGGTCGCCTCGTAGCTACCAGTTCTTAGACGCCCAGAGGTCTTAGACGTCCAGTGGTGGCAGTTCTTAGACGTCGAGAGGTCGAGGTCGTAATCCGATTAGCGATAGGCGCTGTTCGTCGACCGACAGTCCTGTTGAGGATATCAGATGGCCCTTTATCGAGACGCCACGCAGCAAAGATGGTACGCGAATCTGTAGTAATCATCTAACCTAGATCGCTTGAAGTGATGTCTTCCGTCTCACTATTTCGATTCCCCGATTCCCCGATTCCCCATCCCCTCCCCCGCCACACAACTCCCCACCGTCCCTGCCATTTCCCAAGACGGGCAACGAGAGTCCCCTATTCAACCGCTCGTTCTTCTGCTCCATCAACCCCCCTCCTCCACCTCCTCCCCATCTCCCCCCTCCCCCTTCTCTCTCCCTCTCGCACACCAACAACTCCGCCCCTGCTCTTTTCCTTATCAAGGAGGGCAGCGAGAGCCCCCTCTTCGGCCCGACAACGGCGGAGTTCCCGAGGTACCAGCGCGACGTGGAGGACCTGCTGGTGGAAACCACCGCCTCCATCCCACCATGCGATCCCCCTGGCTCTCCCCCCCACTTCCCCCCTCCCCGTTTTTACCCTTCTCTCACCTGGAAGGGCAGCGAGAGCCCCCTCTTCGGTCCCACAGCGCGGAGCTCCCGAGGTACCAGCACGACGTTGAGGACCTGCTGGTGGAAACCACCGCCTTCATCCCACCATACGATCCCCCTGGCTCTCCCCCCCACTTCCCCCCTCCCCGTTTTTACCCTTCTCTCACCTGGAAGGGCAGCGAGAGCCCCCTCTTCGGTCCCACAGCGCGGAGCTCCCGAGGTACCAGCACGACGTGGAGGACCTGCTGGTGGAAACCACCGCCTCCATCCCAATGTTCAATCCCCCCCTCTATTCGGCAGGAAGGGTAGCGAGAGCCCCCTGTTCGGCCCCACGGCGGCGGAGCTCCCAAGGTACCAGCGCGACGTGGAGGACTTGCTGGTGGAAACCACCGCCTCGCCCTGCCCCGCCACCAACCGTTGCAGCAAACTGCTGCTGTGAGTGAGACCCCTCCCCTCTCTTCGCTCGTTTCCCTCTTTTCCCCCAACGATTTTGATCCTGTGTGCTCGCTGCTGGTGGAAACCACCGCCTCGCCCTGCCCCTCCACCAACCGTTGCAGCAAACTGCTGCTGTGAGGCGCCTCCCTCCCATCCTTCCCCCCTTGATCCTCTCTTCCCTCTCTTGCTGTCAAGGCCATTCACCACAGTTGTCTTGCACACACGACTTGGGACTATTGTTTCTCTTTCGTGGTGTATATTTTAAGCCCTTGAAAAAAAAAAAACTCATGAAATTCTCTGGCTCCGTCTGCCTGTCCTCCTCAGGAACGAGCTTCTTGACATCTCAGCACCTCTGAACGAAGCAGCTGGGGCCATAGTCGATGTGAGTACGAGCAGAGCAGACTGCCGCTGTTGCAGGTAGAGATTCTCAATTGACGAGTAATATCAAGCCGATGAAACCAAAAGTCCATTTTCTGGCAGAGCACCACTCATCTTCTCTCCTCCCCCCCCCCTACCTCCCCCCTTCTCCTCCCCCGGCCCTCCGCCCTGGGCTTCCGTATTCTGGGTGCGCAGGACTCCTTCTGGCGCTGCTTCAAGTCCAACGAGCCCGAGCCATGGAATTGGAACCTCTACCTCTTCCCGCTCTGGTGCCTTGGCGTGCTCTTCCGCTACGCCATCCTCTTCCCCATCAGGTGAGGGTGGTGATCTCGTGCCATTGAACGCTGTGCTCCCTCTTGCTGCTGTCAAGCCTGAAAGGGACGACGAGCCTGTCTTCCTCCTCCTCGTCCCTTCCTTTCAGGCTGTCCTCTCTCCTCTTCACAAGGAGGTGCTCCCGTTTCTTTGCTATGCTCCATCTGTTGTGTTGCATTCTCATCCCATTCCGCTTATCTCTACCCCCCCTCATCTTATATTCTGCCAACATGACATCCATTTTCTTTTTTGAGGCGCCTCAAAAACCATTCCGCTTATCTCTACCCCCCTTCATCTTCTGCCGACATGGCATCCATTATCTGCCTTCCCCATCCTCTTCATCTCATCCCCATGCTCTCCACATGTGTCTCTCCCCCCGTCGCCATGCCAGGCTCGTGCTGCTGCTGCTGGGGTGGGTCATCTTCCTCTCGCCCTTCAACCCCATCCACTCCATCTCTCCCCCATCCCCTTCCCTATGTGTCTCCCTCCCTATCGCCATGCCAGGCTCGTGCTGCTGCTCCTCGGATGGGTCATCTTCGTCTCCCTCTTCATCCCCATCCCCGTCATCTCTCCCCCATCCCCTTCCCTATGTGTGTCTATCCCCTATCGCCATGGCAGGCTCGTGCTGCTGCTCCTGGGGTGGGTGATCTTCCTCTCGCTCTTCATCCCCATCCACTTCATCTTCGCCCGATACGACAAGCTGCGCCGCGGCCTAGAGGTAATGGCAGGGTAGTGGAAGGGTAGTGGGAGGCGGGTCTGCAGCACAGCAGGGTAGTGGGAGGCGGGTCTGCAGCACAGCAGGGGAGTGGGAGGCGGGTCTGCTCTGCAGCAGCCTCAGAGATTCCCTCTTCATCCCTATGCACTTCATCTTGGCGTGATACGCCATGCTGCACCGCGGCCTAGAGGTAGCAGCAGGGCAGTGGGAGGCGGGTCTGCTCGGCACCACAATAGCTCTGAGCTTACGTGTGTACTGCGTGTGTGCACCAACGTCTCATGCTTGTTTCCTCTGTGGCGAGCCGCTCATCCTTCCATCCTCTCCCCTTCCATCCTCTCCCCTTCCATCCTCTCCCCTCCCATCCCCTCCCCTCCCATCCACAGCGTGGCCTGGTGGCTCCCCTTCCATCCTCTCCCCTTCCATCCTCTCCCCTTCCATCCTCTCCCCTTCCATCCTCTTCCCTCCCATCCTCTCCCCTCCCATCCCCTCCCCTCCCATCCACAGCGTGGCCTGGTGGGGTGGGGGGCTCATGTGTGGGCTGTGTGTGCTCATGGGGGGTCGTTGGCAGGGGTCATCAGGTTCCCACCCACCTCCCTTCCTATCCTCACCCCCCATCCAATCCTCACGCCCCCTCGCCTCCCATCCCCTTTGTTCAGCGTGGGCTGGTGGAGTTCATGTGTGGGGTGTTTGTGGCGTCTTGGACGGGGGTCATCAAGTACCACGGGCCCAGGCCCGTGCGCCGCGCCAACCAGGTGAGCGGTCTCATGTTCAAATGTACCCAGCGTGAGCTCTTTATGATTCCCACGTGTGGCGCTCGCTCCTTGACCTTCCCCTCTCACCTACCATTCCTCCCCCCCCACCAACCCACCCCCCGAACCCCCCCCGCCGCCTCACCCATTCCTCTTGCCCTTCTCCCCCCTCTCCCCTCCCCCCATTCCCTTCTCCCCCTTCTCTCCGCATCCCCATCGCAGGTGTACGTGGCGAACCACACCTTGATGATTTGACTTCATCATTCTGGAGCAGCCCCCTCTGCTCTGCCCTTAAGCTTCCGCTCTCACCTACCCCCCCCCCCCCCTCCCCCCCTCCACCCCTCCCCCCCCACACTCATGGCAGGTGTACGTGGCGAACCACACCTCAATGATCGACTTCATCATTCTGGAGCAGCTCACAGCGTTTGCTGTCATCATGCAGAAGCACCAGGGATGGGTTGGTGCGTGTGGGGTGGTGGGGGGGTGTGAGAAGTTATTCATAGGTCATGGGCAGGTGAGGTATGAGCTGGTTCGTGGTTTGCTTAATTGGTTAGTTGATGGTTGATTGAGGAAACATTCTCGAGCAGCTCATGGCTTTTTTGAGGCGCCTCAAAAATAGACTCCTCACGCACGTGGTTTGCTTAATTGATTAGTTGATGGTTGATTGAGGTAACATTCTCGAGCAGCTCATGGCTTTTCGCACTGCTTCTCCTGTGCCCCTGCCAACCGATTTGTACCGCATTGACCTTTCCTGCTGTGAGCAGGTCTGCCGCAGAAGACAGTGCTGGGGAGCGTTGGGTGCATCTGGTTCAACCGCTCTGCACTGCATCGGTCCAATTCCCCTAACCAACCACTCTGCACTGCACTGCTTCTCCTGTGCCCCTGCTAACCGCTTTGTACCACATTCACCGTTCCTGCTGTGAGCAGGTCTGCTGCAGAAGACAGTGCTGGAGAGCGTTGGGTGCATCTGGTTCAACCGCACCGAATCCAAAGACCGAGCGATTGTAACACAGAAGTATGTGCTGCTTCGTTGTGCCTTTATCCTAGATTCTGCCTTTTATCCAGTTCCCCTCCCGTGTGCCACGTCTCCTTCACTCAACTAGTTCTCCTTTGTATTGTGATCTCCTGTTTATCCTGATACTCCCCTCCACCACTCACAGGCTAAAACAGCATGTTGCCAGGGCGGATGCCAACCCACTTCTTATATTCCCCGAGGGCACATGTGTTAATAACGAGTACACTGTCATGTTCAAGAAGGTGAGGCGTTTGAGGTGACTGTAAACGTGTGTGTTAATAACGAGATTACAGTCTTCCACAATAACGATGGTCAATGAATTGGGTTGAGTGGAATGCTGGATTCCATCCATCCATCCATCCATCCATCCATCCATCCATCCATCCATCCATCCATCCATCCATCCATCCATCCATCCATCCATCCATCCATCCATCCATCCATCCATCCATCCATCCATCCATCCATCCATCCATCCATCCATCCATCCATCCATCCATCCATCCATCCATCCATCCATCCATCCATCCATCCATCCATCCATCCATCCATCCATCCATCCATCCATCCATCCATCCATCCATCCATCCATGCCCTTTCCTCCCTAAACCCTAATGTCCACACGTCACTGCAGGGAGCGTTTGAGCTGGACTGTGCCGTGTGCCCCATCGCCATCAAGTACAACAAGACCTTCGTTGATGCCTTCTGGAACAGCCGCCAGTAAGCCCCTTCTCGTCCCTTCTCTCGCCCCTTCTCGTCCTCCCATCTCGTGGCCGATTTGAGTAGCTGATGCGCTCTCATTCCCTTGTCCTTCTACAAGATCCCCAACCAACCACCCCACCATTTTGAGTTAAGAGTAACCTAACCTCATTGCGCTGTCACTGTTTATTGCCACCACTTCCCCCCACTTCCCTCCCCCCTTTTCCCTTCTCCCCTCCTCTCTTCCTCCTCTGCCGCTCTCCCCTGCCGCCTCCTCCAGGCAATCCTTCACCATGCATCTGGTGCGCCTGATGACGTCATGGGCGGTGGTGTGTGACGTGTGGTTCATGAGTAACTTCCCCCTCCCGCCCCCCCCCCCCTCTCCCCACCCCTCCCCTATCCCACGAACACACACCCAGGCAATCCTTCACCATGCATGTGGTGCGCCTGGGGACGTCATGGGCGGTAATTTGTGACGTGTGGTTCATGGGTACCTTGGCCCCTGTCCTCTACCCCCCCCACCTCTCTCCCCCCGCTCTCCCCTCTCCCCCCACTCCTCCCTCTCTCCTCCCTCGTCTCAGGCAATCCTTCACCATGCACCTGGTGCGCCTGATGACGTCATGGGCGGTGGTGTGCGACGTGTGGTTCATGGAGCCCCAGTACATCCAAGCAGGCGAATCAGCCATCGATTTCTCAGAAAGGTGAGAGATAGTGACATCTCAGAAAGGTAGGAGATAGCTATGTGCCACTTGAGTCAATTCAGATCAGTGGTGTGTGCCGTGTGGTTCATTGAACCCCAGTACATTCAACCAGGGGAATCAACCATCGACTTCTCAGAAAGGTAGGATGCCAGTTTCAGAAAGGTGGGGCAGCTGTGTAGGCTGGAAAGGTGGGGCGCTTCTCCCCCTCTGCTCCACTCCCCTTCCCTTTCCTTGGGAATGTGCTGAGGTGTTCCTTGGGAATGTGCTGAGGTGTTCCTTGGGAATGTGCTGAGGTGTTCCTTGGGAATGTGCTGAGGTGTTCCTTGGGAATGTGCTGAGGTGTTCCTTGGGAATGTGCTGAGGTGTTCCTTGGGAATGTGCTGAGGTGTTCCTTGGGAATGTGCTGAGGTGTTCCTTGGGAATGTGCTGAGGTGTTCCTTGGGAATGTGCTGAGGTGTTCCTTGGGAATGTGCTGAGGTGTTCCTTGGGAATGTGCTGAGGTGTTCCTTGGGAATGTGCTGAGGTGTTCCTTGGGAATGTGCTGAGGTGTTCCTTGGGAATGTGCTGAGGTGTTCCTTGGGAATGTGCTGAGGTGTTCCTTGGGAATGTGCTGAGGTGTTCCTTGGGAATGTGCTGAGGTGTTCCTTGGGAATGTGCTGAGGTGTTCCTTGGGAATGTGCTGAGGTGTTCCTTGGGAATGTGCTGAGGTGTTCCTTGGGAATGTGCTGAGGTGTTCTGACCTGTCTCAGAACACTTGTCTACCCCCCTCCTCCCCCCTCCCCCCCTCTCCCCCTCTCCCTGCTCCCAGGGTGCGGGAGCTGATTGCCAAGAGGGCGGGAATCAAGAAGGTGCCGTGGGACGGGTACCTCAAGTATTATCGGCCCAGCCCCAAGCTCACAGAGAAGAGGTGCGGTTTGGTGTGGGAGAGATGTACTATGGGGAGATGCTGGGCCATGTGAGAGATGTTGTGTGAAGAGACGCCGTACACATGCCTTTGAATCAAGAAGGTGCTGTGGGTGGGACGAGTACCTCAAGTATTCTCGGCCCAGCCCCAAGCTCACAGAGAAGAGGTAGAGTGTGAGAGGGCTTTAGAGGCGCCTCAAAAGGCGCGTCAAAAGTGTGAGAGGCAGATTCACCATGGAGAGTTGCCGTGCCGGGTCAAGAGATATTGTGCGAAGAGGCTTTTGTGTGAAGTGAAGAGGCGTTTGTGTGAAAGGGCACTGTGTGAAGGGACGTTGTGTGAAGAGATGCCATGCACATGCCTTCTGAGTCAAAAAGGTGCCGTGGGTACCTCAAGTACCACTGGCCGGGCCCCAAGTTCTCAGAGTAGGGGTGCGGTGCATGTGCGTGAGATGCTGCTTGAGAGGATAGCGTGGCTAGCGATATTGGCCCATGCCTATCGCGTGTCTAAAGAGCCACTGTGCCCCATGGATATCGGCTGCTGAGTGGGGGTGCTGCTGGTGCTGTAAGATGCCCTTCATCTCCCTCTTCCTCACACAACCCCCCCACCCCACAATCCCCCCACCCCCACTAGCCCAGGCAAGCCAAGTATGCGCACTGGTGCTGCTCACCCTACAGGAGCTGAGAGGGGGCGCTGCTGGGGCTTTAAGATCCCCTCCTCTCCCTCTTCCTCACACAATCCCCCCACCCCGCAACCCCCCCACTCTGCAATCCCCCCATCCCCACTACCCCAGGCAAGCCAAGTACGCGCACTCAGTGCTGCTGACCCTGCAGGAGCTGAGAGGGGGCGCTGCTGGGGTGCTCCCTTCACCTGATGCCGACAAGTTCGAGCTCTGATATTTCAGATGAGACCTTAGGCTGAAAGGAAGGAGCCTGCTACAAAGCAACCTGCTTTTGCAATTTCTAGATATGAGCTCTGATGTCATACGTCGTCCCTTTCGTTTTGCTTGAGGGAGGGATCAAACTGATGCGAAGTCAGGGCAAGTTTCAGAACAGTTTTGCGTTGTTGACTGGCTGTGGGTCGGACTGTTGCTGTGACTGGCTATGAGGGAGACAAAAGGGGGTGAAGAGCAACAGTTGGGGTGGCAGATGGAGGCAAAAAAGGCTGTGCCAGCCGGGAATCGAACCCGGGTCTGCACCGGGCTTATGGCAGGGTGCTATTCTACCACTAGACCACTGGCACGATTTAGACGAAGATAACCTGGCTAAAGCTTTAATCAAACTCAGGGCAAAAATAGTGTTGCATGTGATGTCCGGTGGGGAAATGGTGCTGCAGTGTTGCCCGGTGGGAAAATGGTGCTGCAGTGTTGTCCGGTGGGAAAATGGTGCTGCAGTGTTGCCCGGTGGGAAAATGGTGCTGCAGTGATACCCGGCGGGAAAGTGGTACTGGATAGAGAGCAATGCGTGTGATGTCAGTGTGCGGCTGACTACGCTTGACATTAAGTTATCAGGAATTTGATGGAGACCCCACACAACTCAACTCTGGTTTTTCTCTATCAGCAAAGAAGCTATTTCTACAATGTATACAAGCTCAGAATTCCTCTACGGCTTGGGAGCTCCACAGAAGTACAGTATCACTAATAACAATGGATGCCACGCACAACAGCTGCGAGTTACACGTGGGCTGGTTACACACTGAGCCTTGGCACTGTATTTGGCCCACAGAAGGGCTCTGTCAGTTCATCTGCACACGTGAGGCGGATTCTCTCAGGGGTGGCTGGAGAGTCGAGACGAAAGAAGCCACTGTGGCCGGCATCCTTCCGGGCAGCATAGACGGCGTCTTTTAGTGCCCACATGACGGATGAGCCAAGGAAGAAAGGCGGCTCGCCGACCGCCTTGGAAGAGAGCACTGCATGGGGATTGGGGGAGTCCTGAGGTAGCCAGGTGTGGGGGGAGAGAGAAGAGACAGGGATAAAGGGTCAGAGAGACACCGGAACATTGGTTGCACAGGGGAAGGGAACTACTGTCAGGGGCCCGGATATAAGACACCCACCTAAGGGCGTGTGACCTCCCTATCCGAATTCCTTAAAAGTTTGAACACTGTAGCATGTCACAAGCTTCGCGAATGTCACCAGAATTTTTCGCAAATTTCGCCACCAACCCTCGTGAAAGCACCATACAGCCTGGAAAAAAACGTGCAAACAGCCCCATTCGAATGGCAGGCCCTGCCCGTTCAAACGGAACACTCGCGCCAATCTGCTCGCCGGCGAAAATGTGCCAGGGCAAAATGGCGTGATGGGTGACCCGATTCTGCCTGAACGACAGCCCGCCCACACCAAGCCTACTTTCTGCGGCACCCATTGTCGAAGCAAACCAAAGTTCTATGGCGCGGGTATGAGAGGTTTGGGAGGGGAGCGGAAGGCTTGAAGCAGGCATGGTTGGACTTCACGACTGTCGGCCAATTTGCGGAGTTTGCAGATGTTCGCCACGATTTGAATTTCGAAGATTCGGACGGATGGAGCCATGATGGATCCATGGTTTTGGCCCATGATGGAGCCTAATTCCGGACGTGTGCGCGAATGACGGATTTCAGATGGATTTCACGCTTTTAGGGTTCGGTATTGTGCGAATTTCAAGACGTAGTGTCTTGTATTGTGACACCGTCTTATCAAAGCACTGCCGAAAGAATTGGGTACCGGCACTGCCAAAAGCACTGTGCCAGCCGGGAATCGAACCCGGGTCTGCACCGGGCACATGGCAGGGTGCTATTCTACCACTAGACCACTGGCACGATTTGGACGGGAAGGGCTAGCTAAAAGCCTATCAAGTCGGTGGCACTTTTAGAAGCTTGTATGTGCTCCAAAAGTACTCGAAGATGGAACCAGGCGCCATCCCTCTCACGCGGACTCACCGCCAGCAGAGTGACTCTGAAGTCGGTGGGAATGTCGGAAGCAGCAGGAATCTTGTACGTGCCCGGGCCACACGTGAAGAGAGAACCGGGCGCCACCCATGGGTGAGCGCTGTCCCCCCACTTGCTCTCCTCAATGACCGACCACCCCATACCCTGGACGAACGCTCCTTCGATCTGCGAACGAGGTGCAATAAGTGGGAAGTAAGGGGGCTAGTGGTTGGGCACTGTCCCCCCACTTGCTCTCCTCAATGGCCGACTACCCCATGCCCTGGACAAATGCCCCCTGGATCTGCAAGGATGAGGGATGCAAGTGAAGGGAGCATAGGCGGCAGGAGGAGGAGCGAGGGATGTGCAAGCACTCTTGCCCCACTTGCTCTCCTCTATCACTGACCACCCCATACCTTGTACAAACGCCCCCTCTATCTGCAAGTGATGTGAATCGGGGTGGGGGAGAAGGCAGGGGAGAGGGGTGGAAGAAACAGGCGCACTGGGTGAGAGCGCCGTCACGACACAGAGGAAAACTGGCCAGATTGTGAGGATTGTATGTCGAAAGAAACGCACACAGCCCACGCCCAACCGGCCACTGTCAATAGGAGGGTTCAAGGACCGCCCCACATCCATAAGGATGTCAACCCTGCGAGCCACCCACTCCCCTGTGAGCACATCCACTGCCACCTCCGCCACTGCTGCTGCTTGAATGAGGGACTTCAGCCCCTATGACCAACATGCAGCACCACCCACCTGGCCAATGTCGATAGCCGGATTCAGTGGTCGTTCAACATCCATGAGTACAGTTTTGAGGCGCCTCAAAACTAGACTCCTATCACGCGGATTCAGTGTTCGTCCAACATCCATGAGCACATCAACTCGCTGGGCCACCCACTCCCCTGTCAGCATGTCCACTGCCGCCTCCGCCACCGCTGCTTGTTAAAAAGGACAACTCACAGCTTACCTGTTTCGGGGTCAACTCAGAAGCACACCTGGCCAATGTCAATAGCCGGGTTCAACGACCGCCCCACGTCCATCAAGACATCAACTCGCGGAGCCACCCACTCCCCTGTCAGCACGTCCACTGCCACCTCCGCCACTGCTGCTCCAAACGTGAAGTACGCAAAGGGGGAGCCGTCGGCTGTGGCCCAGTCAAAGCCGATGTTGGGGGTGGCAAAGAAGCCTTGGGCTGAGAGGTTGACGCGCTCCCTGTAGCAGCGATCAGCGACCTGCAGACAGGAGGGAGGTGAGGGGCAGAGGCAAGGCATGGGGTAAGCAAAGCAAGAAAAGGGGGAGCCGTTGGCTGTTGGCTGCTGGCTGTGGTCCAGTCGAAGCCGATCTTCGGTGTGGCGAAGAAGCCCTGAGCGGAGAGGTTGATCTGCTCCCTGTAGCAGCGATCAGCGATCTGTAATGGCGGGAAGGGGAGAGGGAAATGCGGGGCATTGGTTAAGCAAAGTAGGCAAAAGGAGAGCCGTTGGCTGCTGGCTGTTGGCTGCTGGCTGTTGGCTGCTGGCTGTTGGCTGCTGGCTGTTGGCTGCTGGCAGTTGGCTGCTGGCTGTTGGCTGCTGGCTGTTGGCTGCTGGCTGTTGGCTGCTGACCAGTCAAAGCCCATGTTGGGGGTCGCGAAGTAGCCCTGGGCTGAGAGGTTGATCCGCTCCCTGTAGCAGCGATCGGCAATCTGTAATGGCAGGGAGGGGAAGCGCATATGCAGGGGGCATGGAGGCGCATGGGTAACACGAAGGAAGCAGCGGGGGAGATGTCGGCTGTGGCCCAGTCAAAGCCCATGTTGGGGGTCGCGAAGTAGCCCTGGGCTAAGAGGGTGATCCGCTCCCTGTAGCAGCGATCAGCGATCTGCAGAGGGGAGAGAGGTGAGGGGCATATGGGGGCATGGAGTAAGAAAAAGGGGGCATGGAAAGGCGACCAACAATATATATTGCTCTCACCAGTTGATCACACATACATCTGCAATCATTTCACCTGTATGGTTCCATCCCACCCACCTGAACGGTGTCATGTCTTCCATGTACCGTTTCATCTCACCGCCACCGTTTCATCTCACCGCCACCGTTTCATCTCACCGCAACCGTTTCATCTCACCGCCACCGTTTCATCTCACCGCCACTGTTTCATCTCACCTGCCCGAACGTCTCCTGCGGGTACTGCTGCCTGATTGGCTCCATCCTCCGCTTGATCTCCTCACATGCCTCCAAAACCGCCCGCCCGTAGATGTCAGATGATGCTGATGCTGCTGTGGGCGAGGTGTTGGGGACCTGGAGAAAGGGAGGGAGAAGGGGGGGGGGGGGGGGGAGGAGAGACATAAGGGGGGAGGAAGGGCGGGGGGGGGGAGGATGGGTGTTGAGCCAGATTCCGACCCATCAACCATGAGCACCCAGCAACCATTGGCACCCAGCAACCATCGGCACCCAGCAACCATCGGCAACCAGCAACCATCGGCAACCAGCAACCATCGGCACCTGCGAAAAGATGTCTGACGATGCTGAAAATGCTGATGTGAGCACATGAGGAGTTTTCTCGCATATTCTACAACAAAAATCAAGAGCACCCACGCCCAAGAGCACCCACGCCAAAGAGCACCCACGCCAAAGAGCACCCACGCCAAAGAGCACCCACGCCAAAGAGCACCCACGCCAAAGAGCACCCACGCCAAAGAGCACCCACGCCCAAGAGCACCCACGCCAAAGAGCACCCACGCCCAAGAGCACCCACGCCCAAGAGCACCCACGCCCAAGAGCACCCACGCCAAAGAGCACCCACGCCCAAGAGCACCCACGCCCAAGAGCACCCACGCCCAAGAGCACCCACGCCCAAGAGCACCCACGCCCAAGAGCACCCACGCCCAAGAGCACCCACGCCCAAGAGCACCCACGCCCAAGAGCACCCACGCCCAAGAGCACCCACGCCCAAGAGCACCCACGCCCAAGAGCACCCACGCCCAAGAGCACCCACGCCCAAGAGCACCCACGCCCAAGAGCACCCACGCCCAAGAGCACCCACGCCCAAGAGCACCCACGCCCAAGAGCACCCACGCCCAAGAGCACCCACGCCCAAGAGCACCCACGCCAAAGAGCACCCACGCCCAAGAGCACCCACGCCCAAGAGCACCCACGCCCAAGAGCACCCACGCCCAAGAGCACCCATGCCCAAGAGCACCCACGCCCAAGAGCACCCACGCCCAAGAGCACCCACGCCCAAGAGCACCCACGCCCAAGAGCACCCACGCCCAAGAGCACCCACGCCCAAGAGCACCCATGCCCAAGAGCACCCACGCCCAAGAGCACCCACGCCCAAGAGCACCCACGCCCAAGAGCACCCACGCCCAAGAGCACCCACGCCAAAGAGCACCCACGCCCAAGAGCACCCACGCCCAAGAGCACCCACGCCCAAGAGCACCCACGCCCCATCTCCACCCAATACCAGCACCGACCAATCCCTGTCACCTTATCCGTGCTCGTCTCAGAAATGAACACGGAGGATAGTGGCACCCCCAGCGTCTGAGCGGCAATCTGGGCGCACTTGGTGTGAAGCCCCTGCCCCATCTCCACGCCGCCATGCGTCACCAGCACTGTGCCATCCGTATACACGTGCACCAGCGCACCCCCCTGGTTGAGAAACTTGGCCGTAAAAGAGATGCCGAATTTGGTGGGGATCATTGCTAGCCCCTTCTTCCTCCATCTGCTCCCCATGTTGTACGAGTCGACCTCTCTCCTTCGCTCTTCGAACGAGGACGAGTGCAGCAGCTGTGTCCAGATTCGGTGCATCGGGTTGTGGGTTAGCAGCTGGCCAAAGTGCAGAGTGTAGCCTTCAGGTTGCAGGTTCAGAAACTGCAGCAACAGGGGGAAGGGGGAGCGCATGGGGGAAGGGAGAGCTTAAAAGGGGGAAAGGGGAGCACATAGAAATAGGTGCCGAACTTGGTGGGGATCATGGCACGCCCCCTCTTCCTCCTCCACCTGCTCCCCTCGTTAAACGAGTCGACCTCTCTCCTGTGCTCTTCGAATGAGGAAGAGTGGAGAAGCTGCGTCCAGATTCGGTGCACCGGGTTGTGGGTTAGCGGCTGGCCGAAGTGCAGAGTGTAACCCTCTGGCTACAGGTTCAGAAGCTGGGGGACGAGAAAAAAGGGGAGGGAGCAGAGGGGGGGGGAGGGGGTCAGGAAGGGAGTATGACCGTCAACCCCTGAGGTGACTTTTGAGTCGACTCAAAAGTGACCGTCAACCCCTGAGGCCCACCAAGTCCCCCTACTAGCACGACTCGTCACAAGCCTGCCTTCAGCTCCAGCTCACCCTTCAACTCCTCCGGCAATTTTCCCACGCTCCATGCAACATGATCAACAGCACTCTCCAGCACTCTGCAACATGATCAACAGCACTCTCCAGCACCAGCCTCCCCTGTATGGTTGGTTGACTTTTCAGTCGACTCAGACGTCAACATGAACCATCATCACCACCAAACCAACACTCCTCACCCTATGGTCTATCACACTCTCCATCACCAGCATGCCTTGCGGCCCGCCGAACCTCCTACCTACGAGCATGACTCATCACGAGCCCAACTCACCCATATGTCTTCCGGAGATTTCCCCATGCTCCGTGCAACGTGATCAACAGCAATCCCCAGCACCAGCACCAGCACCAGCACCAGCATCAATTACCATCTAGCAGTAGCACAACTTAACTCACCCTGATTTCCTCTGGAGTCTTCCCAACACTCCTCGCCGCGTGGTTTATCGCACTTTCCACGACCATCATCCCCTGCGGCCTGCCGAACCCCCTATGACTTGTTACCAGCAAAGCCTACCCTGATTTCTTCCGGTGATTTCCCCACACTCCTTCCCGCGTGGTCTATTAAACTCTCCATCACCATCATCCCCTGCAAGCACCGTCTACCATCTAACAGCAGCACAACCCAACTCACCCTGATTTCCTCTGGAGTCTTCCCAACACTCCTCGCCACGTGGTCTATCGCACTCTCCATCACCATCATCCCCTGCGGCCCGCCAAACCCCCGGAAAGCCGTGTTGGACGGCAGGTTGGTCCTCGCCATGTGCCCCTTGGCGTGCATGTAAGGGGCCGCGTAGACTGAGTCGCAGTGGAACAGGGCTCGCTCTAAGACGGCTGCTGACAAATCCAGGGTGCAGCCAGCATTGGAGACGAGGAGAACTTGGAGAGCGTTGAGTCGACCTTCATGGGTGAACCCCACCTGAGAAGGGGAGGGGAGAGGAGAAGTTGGGGGAGGGGACAAGAAGGGGGGGGAACAGGTTGGTACATGCCATGCCATGCACCCCTGACGGCTGCTGAGCGGTCGAGAGTGCAGCCGATGTTGGAGACGACGAGGCTTGGAGAGCCTTCAGCCAACCAGGCGGGGTGAATGAATTCCACCTAACACCGAGAGGGGGAGGAGGAAAAAGGGGGAGAGACCAAGACGTGGGGGAACAGGAAGATGCGAGCCATGCCATGGAGAATTGCAAGGGGGGAATGCGGGGAACTGCTTCCCAGGTTTCTTTCCATCCAGGTGATGTTTTAGAATTCTAAAAAATCCCCTCCAATATGAAAGATGAGATGCCTTTGAGGCGCCTCAAAAGCAGTCTAAAAAATCACCTCCAACATGGAAGAGGAGATGCCTTTGAGGCGCCTCAAAAGCAGTCTAAAAAATCACCTCCAACATGGAAGAGGAGATGCCTTTGAGGCGCCTCAAAAGCAGTCTAAACAATCACCTCCAACATGGAAGAGGAGATGTCTTTGAGGCGCCTCAAAAGCAGTCTAAACAATCACCTCCAACATGGAAGAGGAGATGCCTTTGAGGCGCCTCAAAAGCAGTCTAAAAAATCACCTCCAACATGGAAGAGGAGAGGCCAAGACGTGGGGGAACACGAAGGTGTGGGCCACGCCGCGGAGAATTGCAAGGGGGAAATGCGGGCAACAGCTTCCTAGGTTCTTCTTCGTCCAGGCTCCTGACCGTCTGATGGCTGAACCTCTCAAGTTCGACTCTATGTGCAGTCGCTCCCGGGATGTGACACTGCATGAGCTGCACTGCAGTGCAACCAGAATTTCAGTGTAGTGGGGTGGGGAACCTCTTCCAGAACTGATTTTTGAGGCGCCTCAAAAATCGCTCCCAGGATGTGACACTGCATGAGCTGCGCTGTACTACAACCAGAATTTCAGTGTTGTGGGCTGGGGAACCTCTTTCAGAACTGCCTTGCGCTGGCGACGTTCCCGGAGCTTTCTTGCTGTAGAGAGAACATCGCCAGCGTGTGTAATGAGTCGATTTTTGAGTCGACTCAAAAATTTTGAGCCGATTGTTGAGTCGACTAAAAAATCGACTCACTACACACGTTCCTGGAGCTTGCTTGCTGTAGAGAGAACATCGCCAGCGCGGACAGCTCTGAGTGGTTCCCCACATCACCAGCACAAGCATCTCACCTTGTATTTGCCGTAGAAGGGGTGTCGCTGCCCCGTGACCTTCATATCCTCATCCCTGTCCAGCGTGATCCTCGCCGCCCGATTCAGGTGCCAAAGCCAAGCCCACAGACACTTTTGCAGCCACCAGCACAAGTACCTCCCCTTGTGCGTTGCTGCCTCACCTTGTATTTCCCATAGAAGGGGTGTCGCTGCCCCGTGACCTTCATGTCATCGTCCCTATCCAGCATGATCCTCACAGCCCGGTTCAACCGCCACGCCGGCACGCACGCCGCAGCAGCCACCAGCACACTCCGAGTCTCCTTCCCTCCAAACCCCCCTCCGAGCCTCTTCACCCGCGATACAACCCTATGCATGGGTATCCCCAGCACAGAAGCCACGTCCTTCTGGTGGTGCGTGGGGGCTTGGGTGGAGCACACCATGTGGACCTCCCTTCCTCCGTCGACTGGCCAGACCACGCAGCTGTTGGGCTCGAGGTAGAAGTGCTCCTGCCCACCCATCGCCACCTCGCCCTCGGCTACCAACGGGCATTGTGACACGTCAGCGAGGGCGGTTTCCACGTCAGCAGGGGAGACGGAGGCGCCGACGCGGGGGGCGATTGACTGGGCGTTTTTTTTCTCAGCTTCAGTGTCGTTTTTCTCATCAGCTTCGGTCTTGGTCGCTGGGGTTGGGACTCTCAAGAGGTTTCTTTCGGTCAGGCCGCCCGAGAACGGAAATTTGTGGAAGCTGCCCGAGGCGACGGCTTCCTGGATGGTGAGCGTGGCGGGCAGGTCCTCGTAGGTCACATGGATTTTTTTTGCAGCTGCCCGAGCATTGTCGTGACTGTCTGCTACGACCACTGCAATGATCTGTCAAAGTAGATAACAGAATTTATAAGCCAGGGGAGAAAGAGCCGAGGGTTTAGAAAGGAATGGGATTGGAGAGGGAAGGAAGACGGGTAGGTAAGATGACAATGGAAAGAGAAGAGAGGTGAGGCAAATGTGCCTTTTGAGTCGACTCAAAATACCCATGGCACCTAAGTGGTGCTTGCTGGTGATGAGGATGGAAAAAGAAGAGAGGTGAGGCGAATGTGCAACTGTAGACCATCCTCCCTGCCACACATATCTGCCCCACACACACCTGCCCCACACACACCTGCCCCACACACACCTGCCCCACACACACCTGCCCCACACACACCTTCCCCACACATACCTGTCCCACACATACCAGCCCCACTCATACCTGCCCCACACAGTGCACAGTGTCACTCGCAAACACCTCCTCATCGTGCTCCACCGCACCGAACCGGTTGCTACCGGGCACGTCCTCAGACCCATAGATCCCCACGAAGCCGGGACAGGTGGCAGCTTCTGAGTGGTCGACGGAGAGGATGCGGGCGTGCGGGCGGGTGCTGAGGACTAGAGCGCCGTGCAGAGCAGAGGGTGGAAGGGCGGTGTCGTCTGCATACTCTGCTTCTCCTGTCACCTGGTGTGACAAAGTGCAGAGGAGGGGTGACAGGCGGGGAAAGAGCAGGCACAAGGCGTGTGCTGAGGACTAGAGCGCCGTGCAGAGCAGAGGGGGGAGGGGGGTGTCGTCGGCGTACTCAGCCTCCCCTGTCACCTGGAGGGGGGCGAATGAGTGGGCAACAGTGAAGTGCAACGGAGGAAGGTTTCAAAGGGGTTGCTCTCTCTGAGAAGTCGATAGAGAGGATGCGGCGTGGGGCCCCGTGCTGAGGACTACGGCAGCCTGCAGGGAGGATTGGGGGGTTAGGGTAGGGTCAAGGGAGGGGGTTCAAGGCGGAATGGCCAAAGTGGGCACACACACCGGACCGGACCACCTTAAACCTCACCTGAAGGTCAGGAGATAGGTGAACGGCCGGCACGCCCACCACCTGCCCTGTTTCTGCCCCCCCTGGCTTTTGGATCGACTCAAAAGCGAACCCACCTGAAGGTCAGCAGACAGGTGAACGGCCGGCACACCCACCACCTGCCCTGTTTCCTCCCCTCCTCCCTCACTAGCAGCCCCCTCTGCCAGGGGCCTCGCCTCCCAGGCTTGCATGCCGCGGGGGTAGGGGCGAGGGAGGGTGTCCAAGGCGGAGAGGAAGGAGGGGGGCGGCCACACGGTGGTTGCATCCCTGCCGCTGCTGCTGCTGCTGCTGCTGGTGTTGACGCTGGTTATGGTTGTGGTGGTGGCACCCGTTGTGGTGGTGGTGATGGTGCCTTTCTCTCCTTTCCCTGTGCCTGAGCCTGCTGCCACATCCGCCTCTGCTTCTGCATCTGCTTCCGCCTCTGCTGCTGCTGCATCTGCTGCTGCTTCTGCCTGTGCTCCTGATTGCGGCTGCGCCTGCAGTTGAGCGGTAACCCGGTGCGCCACGAGCAGAAAGAACTTGAAGAAGAAGGACGAGACGAGGGAGCGCCGGAACTCAGGCATGCCGCCAGGTGCATTCCCAGGTATGGCTATCTCCTCTCGAAGCACCTCAAGGGCCCCCTGAAGAGTCTCCTGAGACCATGGCTTTCCCTGCAGCCACTGCTGTGTGCGGTGGGCTGAAACTGTTGTTGCTGCCACGCCCCCGAAGACCAGGGAGCAGTCGAGAACTGTAGGGGGGGCGTCTGGAAAGGGGAAGAATGGGCAAGAGATAGATGGTCTGGTGATCTTGCATGAAGGTGGGGTTCAGTGTCAAAGAAAGCAACCTCGATGTGCACCTTGAGTGGTCGGCGAAACGGCACGCGCAGAGCAGTGTTGACCAGAGCAATGTTGGGTTATCCTTGTTATAGGATTGCTCGAGTTTGGGGTTAGGTGTCAAAGGAATTAGCACCTTGGCTGGCGGGGGTAAGCAGCACGCGCAGAGCAGCGTTGACCAGAGCAATATCGTCGTCCTTCCTGTGCGCTTGCTTGTATGCCATGATGTGCTCGTTCGGCCGGGTCCTGAGGTAACAGGGGAGAGAACAGGGGTGACTGACTGAATGCCATGACAGTTCCGCTGTGCGCATCATGTAATCTTTCCTGTGCGCTTGCTTGTATGCCATGATGCGCTCGTTGGGAAGAGTCCTGAGTGGTGAGAGAAAGAGAGAGCGGATAAAATCTTAACCTGTGATCTACAGGGAAACGTAATAAAATCATGCAAAACGGAAGGGCTTCTTGGTTTTATCACTCACCAGGGAATGAACACGGCAGTTAGCACCTCCCCCTCCCTCAGGTCCACCTTCCGGTACCCCTTGAAGAAATCCCGTGCTGCCACCTGTCGCTCCTCAATTGGACAGGCGGACGGCTGGGCCTTGTCCACGTCAGCACTGGCAGCAACGTCAACAACAGCCACGTCAGCGGCCTGCGGTGCCAGCCTGGCGAGGTGGAGTGTTGCGTTGGCAGCAATGAGGATGGGGTTGAGATCGGATATGGGGCTGGCTGTTACAATGTTACCAGCTAGCGTTGCCACGTTGCGGATCTGATGGGAGCAGAGAAGGGGAGAGATGAAGAGAGATGGGGAGAGATGAAGAGAGATGGGGAGAGATGAAGAGAGATGAAGAGAGATGGGGAGAGATGGGGAGAGATGGGGAGAGATGGGGTCAAGGAATCCGACCGACAGAGTTGATAAATAAGCTACCAGGCTCTCTGCCACGTACCAATGCCGTGCCACGTGCCTACCTGCCATGCACGTGCACGTGGCACATGTCAGCCATTCGAACTGCAATGCCTTGCCACGTGCCACGTGCCTACTTGCCATCCACAGTGAAGTCATTTTTGAGGATTCTAAAAAATTACTCTATCGTGCCACCCACATGCCTACCTGCCATCCATCCAGCAAACCACCTCAACCGCTCCACCGTGGCAATACGAATGGCTGACACGGTTACCGCGTTACAAGACGGACAATCACATGCACCCCAGCCTTCTTTACCTGCACTCCAGCGAACCACCTCAGCTGCTCTGCTATGGCAGCACAGACAGCAGTCTTCTCAGCCGGCATGCACCCCACTGCTGCCAGCATGGCTGCTCGCAGGGAGGAGAGAGAAGCTCCTGCTCCTACAGTAATGCCGCGCTCTGACTGGCTGATGGCTGAGACAGCAGGGATGGTTGCCACGTGGATGTAGGCTGGAGGGCTGGGGGAGAAGGAGAGGGGGGGGGGGAGAGGTGGAAGGGCGGGAGAAGGGAAGGGGGTGGGATGGGGCTTAGGGTTTCGGGTTTGCGGTGAGGCGGGAAGGGGTGAATGGGGGAGAGTGGGTGAGTGAACATCCAAACCTACATGTGTCATGGCTAAGACACGAAGAGGCAAAGGCATTGTCACCGCTCTGCACCCCTGTGTTCCCCACCACCACCACCTTGGCTCCAGAGAAGGCTGTTCACAGCACCTGGAAGCACACACAACCCGTCTCCACCGCATCGCACCTGATCCCCCAAACCCCATTCCATCCCTTTGCACTGCATCTCATCTCACCTGAGTCCTTTAAAACGCATCTCCACGCCGACCTCTGTGTTCCCCGCCACTAGCTTCGCTGCAGGGAAGGCTGCTCGCAGAGCCAACAGCTGTCGCAGCGTGACTGGCCGAAACCACACCGCCCGGCTCCTCTCCTTGCTGCTGCTGCTGCTGCTGGTGGTGGAATTCGCACTGGTGGTGGTAGTAGCAGTGGAGTCAATATTGCTGGTGGTAGTAGCAGAGTTCTGCTGTTGCAGCAGGTAAGTGGTATCCCCAAGGCACAGCGGCATGGGATGCTCCTGGGACCGTTTCAGTAGCTCGGGGGGGAAGATAGGCTCCGACACGCCCAGCAGATCGAACTCCAGTCCCTCCACTGCTGGTGCTGCTGCGGCCGCACAGCTACTGCCACCACAAGCACCACCACACTTAACACCAGAAGCACATTTACCCCCACCAGCAGCAGCAGCAGCAACACAGCTACTACCACAAGCACCACCTTTGCAGCACGTTCCCTCGTTCCTTCGGGCAGACGAAACTTTCCCGCATGCACAGGGCAGGCCAGTGGAAGGGCAGATTGCCCCATTCTCCTCCCCCGTTCTTCCACAACCAGCAGCAGCCGATACTTCACCAACTGCGTTACAACCATCCGTGCATCCATCAGCATCCGCTGCTTTGGCGTCAGCAGCAGCATAGGCAGCAGCGCCAGCAGTAGCGTCAGCGGCATAGGCAGCAGCATCCGCGCGAGCAAAGGTGCGAAACGCCTCAAGAATGGGGCGGTAGCCGGTGCAGCGGCAGAGATTGCCGCTGATAGCCTCCTCTATCTCAGCCTCTGACGGCAGCAAGGAGGAGGAGGATGGGTGTGACGTCCCAGAGAGTGGCCCATCTCCCACAGGTGATTTTTGAGTGGCAACCCCAGCAGCAGCAGTAGCTCGGGCCTTGGAGGCAGAGGCGCGCAGGAGGGCGCACATTGACATGACGAATCCTGGCGTGCAGAAACCGCACTGCGACCCATGAGAGGACGACAGCGCCGCCTGCACCGGATGCAGCCTGCTCCGCGTGCTGCCGATCCCCTCCACCGTCACCACGGCCGCTCCCTCCACTGAATATAGGGGAGCTAGACACGCGTTCACTGCACAGTGGCGGATTGAACTAGCTCCCCCATCCCCATCTACCCGCGACACCATGACCGTGCACGCCCCGCATCCGCCCTCCCCGCACCCCAGCTTCGTACCGGTCAGGCCCCTGTCTGCAAAGTTGGGTGTGTGAGGGGGGGGGGGGAGAGGGGGGCGGAGGGAGAGGGTGGGTTTGAGCAGCTCTCAACGCACCCCAGCTTCGTGCCTGTCAGCCCCCTGTCTGCAGCGTTGGATGTGTGTGCGGGGGGTAAGGTAGGGGGTGCGCGAGGGAAGAGGGATGGAGAGAAGGTGGAAGGGATGAGTGCGTCTCAACGCATGCCAGCTTCGTGCCTGTCAGCCCCCTGTCTGCAAAGTTGGGTGTGTGTTGGGGGGGAGACGGAGGGAGAGGGTTGAGCATCTCTCAACGCACCCCAGCTTTCGTGCCTGTCAGCCCCCCTGTCTGCAGCGTTGGGGGGTGGGTATAGGGGGGGAGGTTGGGAAGAGGGATGGAGAGAAAGTGGAAGGGATGAGTGCGTCTCAACGCACCCCAGCTTCGTGCCTGTCAGGCCCCTGTCTGCAGCGGCAGAGGCGGGGGATTTGGACAGGGGGCGAGTGTCGCGGGGGGTGGGGGGAGATTGCGAGGAAGGGAGGGGGGAGGAGGGGGGGAAGATTGAGGCAGTCGGGGGAACGAAAGATGAGAGGGAGAGGAAGAGAGGGGGGCATCCGGATGGCCCGCTCATAAACACGGCTGACACTCGGAGGAACGTAGCATGGCGCGAGAACTGCAGCAGCCGTGGCGTCGAATGAGGAACGCTGCTGCGTAGCATCCGGATGGCCCGCTGGAAACACTAAGCGGCTCCTTATCAGCAACCTTGAAAGCTAACTCAGGCCTTAGCCGTACCGCGCGGGAACTGCAGCAGCCGTGGCGGCGCCGTGATCCGCTGAGAACACGAAGCCGCTTCTTTTTAGACTTCTAAAAAATACACGGTACCGCTAGGACTAGCTTATCAACAAGCTTAAAAGCCAATTCAGGCCCTAGCCGTACTGTGTAGAGATTCTTAAGAGTCTACTCAGCCTCAGCCGTACCGCGGAGGAATTGCAGCAGCGTGGTGTCGGCGTGACCTGCGGGGAGAACGAATCGCTGGCCATTCACGAACACCACGGGCTCCGTCGCCGAAGCTTCGCGAAAGAACGACTTCAATTCGCCGTCCATGAGGCGATCGCGAACTAAGATTCGAAGCGGTAAAGCTTGCACACACAGATTGGAGAAGCTAGACTTGCGAATTACGAGCTATCGGACGTTCAACTAGTCAAGGTTGCTCAGCTTCGATATGCCAGTCAAGGTTGCGTGGTGTTTAGGACAAGGTGCTATGTGCGGGTTTTAATGACGGACTCGCTACTGTATTGAAGGAAATTGTCGTGCAACAGTTGACAGTAGGTCGCGTGTTACATATGGACGCTTTACGTGAAAGTGGGTTTTGCTTCATGTAAGTCCAAAGAAGCTATGGAACAGGGCTTCAGATTGGATTTTGAGGGGCTGTTGGCTCAGGGTGCCCCCAGAAGGAGCCCCCGTTAGGATTGGGTTTTGGAAGTTGCAATTTTTTTCAGGGTAATTTTTTTCGAAGGCTGAAAAATCAAGACTGAAATTTTTCAGAGCTGAGATGATATGTTGAACCTTGACGATTTTTTAGGGTGGGTAGGATTTTAACCTAGCACATTATGTTGGACAGGGCATGTTTTTGTTATAAGGCTAACTTAGCTAGGAAGGAAGGCGGCTATGAAATGGCGAGAGGTCTAGGAGCTAGGGGAGAAAGTTGACGAGAGAAAAGAGAATGAACTAGAAGAGAGAGAGGCATAAAAGAAGGGAGTTGTACCCTCTACAGTAAAGTTCGATAACCTACCAAGCCTATAATTATATAACAAATATAATTTAACACACCCCCTAGGCTTGGTAGTGGCAAGCCCACCATATACACAGCACACTAAGCCACACACCCCCTAGCACCCCCATACCCATTAGCAGCAACTATTACTTCAGCACGGTCAACCCTACGGCACGTGAGGCGGGGCGACGTCGACAACGAGGACAGCGGCTACAACGGCGGCGTCGGCGGCGTGCGGTAGCGTGGCCAGCGGCACCAGCTGCGGCGGCGGCGGCTTCGACGACAGCTGCCGGCGGCGGCGGGGCTCGCAGCACTCGGCGGCGTGGCCGGGCTCCGCGATGGTGGGACGGCCGGCGCGAAGTAGCCGTCGGCTGCGGCAAGGAAGAGGGGACGTAGGGGAAGAGGGGCGGGGCTTCAGCAGCAGAGCCCGGGAGCGTGCCGCCCCGTGTGGCGCGCTGGCTGCATGCGGGCGTGCTGGCCAGCGCTAAGAAGAGGCGCTGGCTGCTACCGTCCGTGCCGCCCGCGCGCTGTCGCGTAGACGCCGCGGCAGCACGACGGCGCCGTCACGCCGCCACAGTTTGACGCCGACGCCGCCGCGGCCACGGCTTGACGTCGACGCCACGACAGCGCAACGCCACGGCAGCGCGTCGCGACGGCTGCGGCAGCACGACGCGGCCGGCGGCACGACGACGCGGCCACAGCAGCACGACGCGACCGCCATGGCAGCGAGAGAGAGAGAGAGAGAGAGAGAGAGAGAGAGAGAGAGAGAGAGAGAGAGAGAGAGAGAGAGAGAGAGAGAGAGAGAGAGAGAGAGAGAGAGAGAGAGAGAGAGAGAGAGAGAGAGTATAGAAGAGCGCGGCGGCCGAAAAAAAAAAAAAAAAAAAAAAACTCATCAGGTACATTTATTTGGTTTCCAGATCCTTAGATCAAATCAGACTTCATTGCGTGCAAATTCTTACACTACTAGCGTGATTTTAGCCAAGGACCAGTCACACCCCTCACACCTGCTCCAACTCGCGTCAGACTGCATGTGTGATTTTGGCGAAGGACCAATCACGTTACTGTCAAACATATATTCTTATGTTTGTATAGACTGTATAAGTTTGTGCCTTATAGAGTACAGCCCTTAGGTCATATGCCCTTGTACTCATGCCTTCTAGTATATTATTTTATTTTGATATGGTATCATGAGTAGGTAGGTCCCACCGCCCGCCCACGCTTCCGCCCTAGGTCCTAGCCGCCCGTTCCCCCCCCCCCCCCCCCCCCCCCCCCCAGCCGCGCCGTCCCTTGCACCCGTTCTAGCAGGCCTCCAGCGCCCGTTCCTGCCGGCCCCTCGCGCCCGTTCCAGCCGGCCCCTTGCGCCCGTTCCAGCCGGCCCTTGCGCCCGTTCCTCGCCTGCCCCTAGCGCCCGTTCCTGCCGTCCCTTGCTCCCGCTCCAGCTGGCCCCTCACGCCCGCTCCTAGCTGGCCCTCACGCCCGTTCCAGCCGGCCCTCGCGCCCATTTCAGCTGGCCCCTCGCGCCCGCTCCTAGCTGGCCCCCCGCGCCCGTTCCTGCCGGCCCTCGCGCCCGTTCAAGCTGGCTCCCGCGCCCGTTCCTAGGCGGCCCTCGCGCCCGTTCCTGATCGGCCTCCTGCAAGCTCCTCTTCGGCCCCGCGCTTGTTCCTAACCGGCCCCGCGCCCGTTCCATGTCAGCTGGCCCGCCGCCGGCCTCTAGTGCCCAGTTTGTTGCCGCACTGCACCGCACTGCTCCGTTGCTGCATCGCTCTTGATGGCGGACTCCGTGCTCCAATTCGACGCAGAGGGTCAGCCGCTTGAGTTTGACACGTGGCTGGTCGACCTCCGCCATCATCTCACTGGTCAGCGGCAAGACGGCCACTCCCTGGCTGTCCACCTTGACGGTACGCTTCCCTGCCCTTACCCCCCTGCTCCCTTGCCCGCTGACCCCTCGTCCGCTGACCGTGAGTCCGCTGCAGTTGCTGCCCTTGCTTGCTCAGTCTGGCTGTCGCGTGACGCCGTCGCGCAGCTTGCGATCACTCATGCCCTCCCCCTGTCTGACCGCCCCCGTTTTCGTTCAGTCACGACTGCGCAGGAATTCCTAGATGCCGTTGTCAAGTGCTATTCCACCCCGTCCGCTGCCTCTATAGGTCTCCTGATCCTACCGATGCTCTTCCCTGACCTTGCGTCTTTCGCTACTGTCGCTGACCTGGCCGCTCACCTGGCGCATGATAGACCCAGCTTAGAGCCTTTCAGCCGCCCCTCTGCTCTACCCTCTACCTACTTGCCACCCGCCTCCCTTAACGTCTTGCTACTGCCTGCGACCGCTTTCTTAGCATCCACCCCGGTGACCTCACCCTCACTGACTTTGTCGACACCCTGTCTGCCATAGAGACCTGCCAACGCTCTATTGCCCAGACCAGCGATACTGTGCCGGTCCCTATCTTCCAGGGTTGTGGCCCCGCTCAGTGCACCTTCTCCGATGGTTCTGCTGCTGTGGCTGAGACTGCAGCTGCAGCACAGTTCCGTCAGGGGAAGGGTAGCCGCCCCAAGGCTGGGCGCGGCGGTGGGGGTAGTGGTGCAGGTGGAGGTGGTGGTGGCGTCTGGTCGCCCGGTGGTAGCGCTGACAAGGGGACCGTGCCTAGTGTAGCCGAGCAGCCGTCTCAGCAGCCGCCGACGCCACAGCCGGACCCACACCAACCACAGCAACAGCCCCAGCACCAGCCGCAGCAGCCGCAGCCGCAGCAGCAGAGGCGGGCGAGTGGTCTCCCGCACGGGGGGCGCTGGCCGTGGTGGTCGTGCGCATGGTGTGCAGTCGGGTGGCGGCTCGGGTGACGGGCGCTGTTAGTACTTGCTCCAAACCAGTCCTCGCCGTGGCTTCGTGTGCGGTAAGATCGGTCACTCCTCCGTCCGCTGTTTCCGTCGCCTGGACGACCTGTTTTGTCAGCGCTTCGGCCCGGCGCCCGACCTCCCCAACTGGCACAGCTTGCTTCGCCGTAGTGTTCCCATTTTTGATATAGACATGGATGTGCTTTGTTCTACCCTGCATGTGCTGTATATTGATGACTCTAGTGTGACTGTTTCTTACTACCACTTGTTGCCTAGTGTAGGTGTGTCTAGTCTTGCCTCCCCTGCTGCGTCAGGTGTAGGATCCCCTGTTTTGTTTAGCCTTCCTTCTTCCCTCGCTGCTCTGACTCCAGCCGCCACTGCTGTGCTCTCTTTCACCCTGGACTCTAGCGCTTCCCGGTGTTTCTTCCGCGACTCCACTACGCTGACGCCACTTGCTGCTCCTACTGCAGTTTCCCTTGCCGACCCCTCCTCCGGCACCGTAGTCGCCCGCAGTTCCACCACCTTTCCCTGTCCGGCGGTTCCTTCGGGCTCTCTTACAGGCCTGCACATCCCCTCGTTCTCCAGGAACGTAGTTGGTGTCGGCTGCCTCCAGGACCTTGGTGTCACCACTATGTTCCCAGGTCACGAGTGGTATGCTGTGTGTACCGAGGCCGCCACTGGTGCCCCCCTTACCACGTTCTCCCGGGACCCGGTGTCCGGCCTGTTCACACTGAACACTGCGACCCCCCTGGTAGGGACATCTTCTCAGGTTGCTGCGTCTACCCTGGTTGCTGCGGCCTCGTCCTGTCGGTCGCTTACTCACCGACACTCCTGTGGCACCACCGTCTAGGTCATTTTGCACTCCCGCGTTTGCGTCACATGTCACACCACGGTCTTGTCATAGGTCTCCAAGGGTCCTTCCTCGAGTTACCCTCCTCCGTGCACGCCCTGAGTCGAGGGCCGGCTCCGCCGTGCCCCTCACTCCTCCTCGTTCCCCCCCACCGACGCATCGCTACAGACCCTGCACATGGACGTCTGGGGCCCCGCCCCCGTCCATGGGCCGCGTCGAGAGCGCTACTTTCTTGTGCTTGTCGACGACTAGACGCGCTAAACCACGGTGTTTCCCTTGGAGCGGAAGGCCGACGTGCTTGACGTTCTCATCCCGTAGCTTGTCTCTACGCGTGTCTACTGCGGTCTCCCTGTCCTGTGTCTCCACTCCGACCGTGGTGGCGAGTTTGCCTCTGGTGTCCTTGGTCGTTTCTGTCATGCGGAGGGCATCACCCGGACGTTCACCTTGCCGGACTCCCCGCAGCAGAATGGGGTCGCTGAGCGATGCATCGGTTTGGTCATGGAGGTGGCTCGTACCTCCATGATCCATGCCGGTGCACCCCATTTTCTGTGGCCGTTCGCTGTTCGCTACGCTGCTCACCAGCTTAACCTGTGGCCGCACTCCCAGCAGCCGCAGGTTTCGGCGACCCTCCTTTGGTCCGCGTCTCCTGGTGACGCGTCTTCGTTGCACGTCTGGGGCTGCCTTGCTCACGTCCGTGCCTCTAGTACAGACAAGCTCACTGCCCGCACCGTCCCCTGTGTCTTCCTTGGTTTCCCCCTCGACTCATC